TGTATCAGCATTCCTTGGTTTAACCTCAGTATACGAACCATTATTAACATTACTGTCACGGGCTTTAGGCACGGGAGGTATGCGTGTATCAGCATTCTTTGGTATAACTTCAGCATACCTAACATCATTAACATTAGCCTCATTATAATCTTTCACGTTGCTCAAGTTGTGGTTGTCGTCTTGATACTCTTGTTCGTTCCCAGAATCCATCTGAATGACATCACTGGAGTGTAGTTTGGTTTTGACTGACTTACCAATGGGTTGAGTACCAATTAATTTATTCAAATGAAAGTTAAACGTCGTAACGGGAATGGAAAGATAGTTGGACGAAACAGATTCGCCGCGCGAGGACTGGGTTTTTACCACAAGTTTTAACGCTTCAGTAGTGCTTTTCTTTGCTGCTCGTTCAATCATCCAAGAAGCAACTGTCACGCAATCTGCAGTAGGTGATGTAACCTAACAATGAAATCACAAGCCGTAACATATCATTAGATGATTGCAATACGTTTTTCTTTTCTCTCTACTGGAACGTACCTCTGCAACGGCGAAATCGTTGATGTACACTTTGTAGCCGGTGACGGGTGCTCCGTTAGACATGCCTTGTTCGGTGATGGTCACTGGGATCCAGGACACCTCTAGTGTGTTGGGACCACTTCGAGAGGACGTGGGTACTAGATGAACATTAAGTGGCGGGTCGGGAAAACCTGGGAATGACAATCAACATAAGTTGCTAATGAATATACATGTACTACTGATGTACTGTACTATCAACGGTAATAATACCTATATATGAACACTACCTGCTGCTTGTGTGGTGAATTCTACAGTTTCTCCAAGGGATTCTTTCTCAGGATTATCGTCCTTCTCCACGACTGACGGGTTCCTAGCCCGTACGTGGATTCGATAATGTTCACTGGGTTCTAGGTTGGTTAGAGTTAGCTGGCGTGTTCCAGGCCTATAAAAACAAGACATACAGATAAGTCCTATTACTCATGAATCTCATATTACTGACTAACAAACTAGTGTAATATAACATGACTTACGTAACGGTTTGTCTGGGAGTACCATTCACCAATATCTCATGAATAAAAGAGCTGTTGCTAGGTAACCATTCTAACTTTGCAGAGGTGGGTGATATATCGGTAACCTTGACATCAGTGGGTGCTGTACTTGCATCTGCATATCAAATCAAACATTTATTTTAAACAATTATTTTATTTAGAAGACACGTTACCGTTAGCTAACAAACCTTTTCCAATAGTTAAGAGTGCTTCCTGGTCCAGGGACTCGTCTCCTCGCGTTGTTACGGTTCGTACTGAAACACGGTATGTCTGCAACAGATTAAGTGGTAACATTATTGCTGACTACCCCGACAGAGAGCAAGCGATGTTGGGTAATATGAGTTACACCTAGTTCAGGTCAGTACAGTGTAGCTTACCTCATTTGGATCAATGTCTTCGATAAGAGCTTTGGTATTGTGTCCACCTTTAATGATAACCTTCAACTCTCCATTCACATACACTGTATAGCCCTCTATTTCATCTATAGGGRGGTCTGCAGGTTTCCAGTTCAAAAGGATGCTCCGCGTAAACTGCCGCGAAAGGATTAAGCGTTGTGGTGATGGTATTTCTGTGGGAAAAGAAGCACGATGAGAGCCTGGTGACAAAAATTTGACTAAGTGCCCACAACGTGACTCACCACTTGGCTCGAAGTCTGTTTCGTCACTAGTTAAGCCATTAAGACTGTCACGCAATGCTTCACATGATGCCTCTATTGTCACGTCTTCTTCTTCTATGTCACATAGTTTAGAATCAGGGATGTGTTCTACGTTCAATCTGAGATTACGGTGAAGCTTACCTGTGGAAACAATACGATACAAACCTGTTAACTTGTGTTTTGTTTTAGATTGGTTATACAATACACCGAGACCTTCCCTTACATTTTAAACAGTTTTGTTTTAAGACCATTTAACTTTTTTTATCTTATCTTTATTATTTTGTTATTGTTTATTTTAGTTTATGTGTTTATTTGTTCATATTATTGTATATTCAACCAATTATTGTCTTGCTATTAGTTTTTAGGTTTCCTCTTTTGTTAACTCACCCAACAATATCTCGTTCATAGCAGTTTTTTTAGATCATAAGGAATTACTTTAACTCTAATTCTGAGTAATTCATTTAGTGTCTGTGATAATATAAAGTTTATTGAAGTAARCTCGATAACAGTTCAATATTTATACCAGAAAATTTAACGACTCTGGGAGGCTTTYCCACTACACTTTGACATTCATCGTCGTCACCATCGGTTTGAGCTGCGAGTTTAAATAAGGATTTATACAGACAAGTTAGAATGTTACTGATAACATTAATGAGTTGATGCTACAATATTGATAACTATGTTTTCATTGTGGGGTATGAATGAATATTTCACACGAGACATTACTTATCATCGAGGTGCAAGAGTACATTCAGTTATGGTACAGTCAGTGTACTTACATAGACGTTCCTCCTCATCGCTACTGGACATGTCTTCTGTAGAGTACAAACACATATAAGTCATACAAGTATTTTCACACCTCCTCCCTTCCTTTCATCCTCACCCGAGAACAGGAAAAGAGGCAACACATCAGATGAGTTTGTGTTAAAAAAATAAACCTTGCASTTGTTTGATTAGAAGAAAGTTTTGTATTAATCAGCATGATGGATGAGCAGAACGCCTATCTGTGTTACGTACCAGTTGGCTGTGGTTCTACTGCACCATTAGTTATCCACGACATATCACTTTCATCTAGAGACAAAACACAGCAGATCAGCTTTACAGCAATATGTTCATGATATGGCATCTCTAATCACTAACACGACATACCTGCAATTTTCTCCACAAAGTTCGACGGAACAAGTCCTCTCTGGCCATCCATCAATTCTCCCAGATAAAAGCCATCCTTAACAAAAAGTCGTAATATATGAATAAATAGTACACCTGGAATAGAATACAAGTTTGTTGCATGTTGTCAGTTTGCCACTCATACTTACATCATCAACGTCACCAAACACATACAAGTAATCGCCAGCTTGGAAGGCGAGCTCTGCATCAGGGTTATCGTTAGGAGAGTGTTGGAAGGGGTCATAACTATAACGAGCTATATAAACAGACAGGTTATCAGTCTCTTCCTCTTCATCCCTTGTTGGTTCCTGTTGAAGGTACCTCTCATCCATTACGTCGTTCTCATCACCTGCAAATCAAACATTCATGAATGTGAATGGGCAGTGAATGTTACTGTAATAAACCCATTGTAAATCACCAGCAACAAATACACAACAAACCTTTTCCATCGGTTTTAAAGTGGGTACTTGTGTCCTCTTCGTCTGCCAACTGCAAACTGGCTGTTATATCATTATCTTCCGTATCAGCCATATCTCCTTCAGCTACACTATTAACGTCTCCACTGGCATCACTATCGTAGTTGTTATCTGCAGCACTCACAGAGCTATCGTCACTTATAGCAGCTTGACCGATGCGGCGAGACAGAGCAGCAATATCATCTTCTTCTGTACCACCACCGCTGTCTTTTGACTCCTCTTTAGGTGTATCTCTCGGTGCGCCGGCTGAAACATCAAAAATATTATCATTATGATCAACATTGTCATCTTCCATTCATCATCAACTTCATCAACAGCAACATATGGTACACAAATAAATAATGAATGATTACTGATGTAATGACTCCTGTTTTACAGTCTATAGTTGTATTTATGGTCTTGGACCAGTGTAATCATCAACGATTCTTACCCCCACTGTATGTAGAGTCCTCTTCACTATCAGACATAGCGAGTTGTTTAATACGAGAAGCAGCAGTGTTCAGGATATCTGTCTTCTTGCTATTATGTGGCGTAGCCTGTGAATGTTCTACCATATGCGCTGGTGATGAAGGTCTGGATGTCTGTGTAGCTTTGTGTTCATTACTACGTCTTGACTTGACACTTTCAAGCTCGTTCTTTGCATTAGCTGCTCTTAAATCAGAGTCCGCACATTTCTGTTCAAGTTTTCGCAAATCTTGCTCCAATGATGTGACAGCAAGATGATGGGCACGGGTAGATTCTTCTTGGATCTAAAAGGATGAATTACAACATGTAAATAGGGTACTGTCACAGGATGGCATGATAAATACCGATGATGATGTGATAAATACCTTGTGTAATTGCTTGATCTCTTCTTCACGCTCTTTCAATTTGTACTGACTTGATTGCTGTATAACTTCTAATTCTTTTCTTTGTTTCTCAGACGACCTCAACTCCTGTATCAAGCAAAGATTACAGTCAACGTCAACTCATCATTTTCCTTCCATCTTTCTTTCTTTCTTTTTTTCCATTTCCTACACTTACCTCTTTAACATGCACCAGTTCTTTTAGTTTCACTCTCAATTTCTGACATTCTTGTTCAGCTAATTGTTTATTCTCTTCTGCGTTTTGCAGGTTCTCTTTTAGACATTTTATCTTCTCCTCAAGCTGAAAGACAAACAAGGTTTTTGGAGCACATAAACAGGGATTGTTGTAGCGAGATTGCAATACATTATGGATCCCAGATATTGAAATAATACTGCTTGTCTTCTAAGCAATGAGTCTAGTTACATAACAAGTAGTCAATATAACATGTAGTCATGGTATCATGTAGTAAAGGTGACATGTAGTCATGGTAACATGTAGTCATAGTAACATGTAGTCATGGTAACATGTAGTCAATATAACATGTAGTCAATATAACATGTAGTCAATATAACATGTAGTCAATATAACATGTAGTCAATATAACATGTAGTCATGGTAACGTAGTAAAGGTGACATGTAGTCATGATAACATGTAGTCATAGTAACATGTAGTCATGGTAACATGTAGTAAAGGTAACATGTAGTCATAGTAACAACATGTACAGGGGCGGATCCAGGATTTTTTCAAAGGGGGGGTTGTAGCATTGATTGAGGTACTTGTTTGGCGGGAAAGTAGCACAGGGTTCCCAAACGGAAGTAGTCTTATGATAATGATTATTTGCTGCAGGCGAGCATGGTTGTTTCAGGTCCCACACAYGGTGTATAGAGAAAAAAAAGCGAGTGAAATGTGTTCTGCACCCCTGTTTTAATAAAACTCGCGATGCTGTTGGTGTTGTCATGAAAATAATAATAATAATAATAAATCACGATGGCTCTCATAGGGGGGGGTTGCAACCCCCAAAACCCAATCCCTAGATCCGCCACTGATGTAGTCATGGTAACATGTAGTTAAACTAACATATACCTTACCTGACTGATTTCTTTGATTCGCTTTCCAAGTTCAACATTCTTCTGATGAAGCATTGTGCATTTTACTGCAAACTTTTCACGTTCAAGTTCCTAAAGATTATAATAATAATAATAATAAAAGCTTTATTTAACAAAGGTTTAAACTTTCAGTCATAGACTGGTTTACAAAGTGCCTTCCCAAAGATATAAAATACAATGTAAAAGCAAGCTAATAATATATATTTATAAAATATCTAGTAGATTTAATATTACCCCCCAAAAAAACAACCCTAACCCTGACTCAACCCCAGTATATTGCTATTTGCCCATAAATATAAATATTAAGTATAAAAGTGAATAAATATAATCTTATAACAGCCCTTAATCCTACCCCCATCAAAAAATCCATGTGCAAATAGACTGCAAGATTGACCAAGTTTACAATTAATAATGTCTACCAATAAAAAGGAATAAAGGAAAGAAGATCCACTTACCAGTTTAGAGCATTTTTTTGTCATTTCATCTGCAGACTGCTTCAGCTTTTCACATTCTTTTACTTTAGATTCTAATTCTTTTTTCTGAACAATAATGAATTGAATAATAAATTTGAATACATATATGCTGCCTCTGGCTAAAAAAAATGTAAATATATTTTACGTTGATTGCAGGGAGCGATAGCTTAGTTTCCTAAGCCACATTGGTGAGAGGCGCAACAATATTTAGTGATGAACACCAAACATGCTTCAAAAGTTTCAATATTTGAAAATAATTCTCTCTGCAGCATTTTGAAAATTACACATGTGTGTGTAGTTTTTATTGCTGTGTTTGATATCAAAATGAATGAACATTGTATTGCATATTGGCAGCTTGATGACTCACCAGTATTTCAGCCTCTTTCTCAGATGTTTTAGCTTGGTTTGTATAGGTTTCTAGTCTCTTCTCCAGATCATTCATCCCTTCTGGGGTGGGAGAAAGAGGACTAGGACAAGGAGATCCAACAGATGCTAGTTTCTTCTCAAGCCACAACCTTTCTTTTGCCGTCTTCTTTATGATTGATTGAAGTTCTCCAATTTTGTCATTCTGATGAGCAAAAACAAGAAATTATTTTCATTTGAGCATCTCAGTGATGAGTATATGATTTTTTATGATATAATGTTCATTTTACCTGTGCCCCTGATTTAGCACCAGACAAGGAAGCAAGTTCTTCCTGCAGCTTCTCCAGTTCATTGTCCTTCTCCATGTGYATTTTTGCATGTTCAGCTAAGTCTTTTGCTCTTTGCCGCGCAAACATTCTCTTCATGTGTTCAACTTCTGCACTGGGATCATCCTTGCTGTTTGCTTGTTTCTAAACAAATTTTCTACTAGTGTTAGTGAAAAACTAAATAATAAAACCCCAATAGTTTTATCTACTCACCATTACAGCATTTTTTTCTTCTTGCAACTTCTTGGCTTTTTCTTCCAACTGTCTTGCAATAGACACAAGCTCTGAATTTCTTTTTTTGAGTTTCTTAACCTTGTCCTCAGTGATACTAGACAATTTCTGACTTCCAGTCTGCTTAGACGCATTTTCTTTCTGTGATACATAAAATTATATAAAAGGAATGTATATTACTTCAAAGATATTATCAACACAACCCTTTTCATAATATTTTTATCCTTTACAAGAAAAGAGTAGCTAACATAGCATTATTAGTGGTAGTTATATTATGGCACTCACACTGATAAATAATGGTTTTACGAAAGGGATATATCAGGAGATGATGGTAATAATGCAAATCACCAGTTTTCTAGAACATGCTATTGATTAATTGTGCCATCTTTACCTCAAGAAATGTGCATTTTTTCTCCAGTATATCCAGTTTACTTTGTAATTCTGCATTCTTTTTTCTAAGTTCTCTTTCTTTGTCTTTGTTCCCCTTACTTGACAGCTGAAACTACAAGGTTAGATTTGTAATCAGTAGACATACAGTATCCTGAGATTTGTATAACCATCTAGCAGTGTTTGATGAGATAATGAAAGCTTTTAAACAGTTGGGTGTACAGAATCACCATACAAATATAAGAATCGAATTACACAGCTCAGTTTTATAATATCCTTTAGGAGAAAAACCAATAAAGTTTAATAGGCATTGACAGATGCACTGACGAGGATAGAAATATTTACTAGTGTAAAAGGTTGACAGTTATGGATTTCATGTTATTAAAAGACGAATCATTGCGAGGGTTCTAAAGGTAGAGGAAACTTGTAGGATTAACTACTACGATGGTTCAATTCAGGATATGTGCTAAAATCAAATGTCTTCCCTCTCTTTCACACAATAAAAAATAATAATAATAATTGAATTATTGGAAAATATTTGTCTAATTATTAATAACTATAGTAGACAAAACACAGAGAGATTTTACAAAATGATCGTATAAACACAGTAAAGCCATGTATATACAATCGTGACAACATACGCCATTCATGTATCGCCATAGCACCTTGTATTTCATCACATACATTGGATGAATTGATAGTAATGAGGGATATAAGATACAAAACAATTTCAGAAATCAAAATAAAGTGATTTATTAGTTCGCTGAATTGAAAGATGCAATCATTTTAAAGAATGTTCGCACAATTTCACACGTAACTCTAAAACAATTATTGTAACACAAATACTGCAGCACAATGGCTTCCCGAACGGACGTCACATCGAACGCGATGGTAGTTCATAGCAGTGATTTGGTTTGAACAAAAGATAACGGCTGATTCAATTTACGATATCATATTGTTGTACAGGAATAGATAAAGTTTTCAAGAATGTCGTTCATAACACACAAATAAAAACCAATATTACTGTAAAACCAGGATGGAAAGCATAATAAAGAACTGGACATTGCAAACAAATTTAATATCTAAGACAATAATCTTCTCGTCGCGATTTCAAAACTACAATAATGTCGCTGAAGTATCAAAATTCTATCGCAGTTTACTTGGATGATATCTTTTCTTACAAACGATAACATTTATCCATTTAGTTCTAGGTTGATGTAGCAAACATGATATGGGACAGATCGTGCGTAACATAAAATACGGTTGCTGGTAGTAACGTGTTCATCAGTGTATTATTAGACGACATACTTCGTGAAATACTTGCAACTAAAAACAACAATTTATACTTACTACATCATCTGCTTCCGGCGAGCTTTCGAACACAGTCAATTCGTGTGTCCCGCTGTTTGTACGGGATCTTAGAGGACTTTCCGAAATATTAATATCTCCTGAACTTGTTCGATGGCGAATTTCTTGCTTTTCTGCTTCTAGTTTTCTCGTCAGTTGATCCTTGAAAGCCAGCTCGTGATTCTTTTCTTGTAAAGCTTTTTCTGCAGACCGTAAATGGTGATATTCTTTAGCTACTTCTCTCTTTGACTGACGGATCAGTTCGTTTATTTCACGTTCGTGTTCACTTTTAAGTCTTCTAATAAGTTCTGCCTTTTCAAAATCTGCGGCACATTTTAGACGATACAATTCGTCTGTCTTGTGTTTTTGCTCCTTTATATCACTTAGTTCATTTCTAAGTCTTTTTTCTAAATCATTTGTATTTCCATTACTCTTTACTGTTAAATGTCTTTTTAAATCTTCTTCAGCACGCTTTGCTCTATCTTTTTCTTCTTGGATTTGTTGTTTAAATGCTTTCAATTCTTCGTCTTTAAATCTCAAAACTTGTCGTAGTTCGTTGTCTTTCTCTTTAGTTAAACTTTCTCTGATCCGCCGAAGTTCCACCGAATGTTCATTTTGTAATCGCTTTGTGACAGTCTCAATAGTTTTCTGCCTTTCCTTTTCGTGGTTTTCCTGTATTCTTTTTAACTCACCCGTCTTATCTCGATGCACTTGTTTAAGTTTACTACGCTCTGATTCCAGCTCAGCTTTCAATTTACTTACTTGTCGTTTGAGTTCGTCTATGGATTTCTTGTTACTCGGAGAGTTATACTCTTTATCCATTATACTAATACCATTAGCAGAAGGCATCGGCACAATAAGAACTTTTCAAGTAGGAATAAAATCTAGGAATTTCACTCTAAAGAAATCACTGATAATTGAATAACTTATTCAGTATTTAGAAGTCGCCGGCCACAAGAAAACAAACTCCAGCCACATTTACATACGCTACGTTGCATTTTCTCTCCACATTTGTGCATTCCAAAGCCACATTTTCCTAGCAGTAGTTATCTGCACAAGCTAAGTATTCATTAAATCGTAGTGGATAAGATGATCAATGCAATAGCATCTTGATATTCATTTTTACCAAGGGAAAATCCGTAGCGAGAAGTGAAGCATAACTGAAAACATTATAACTGCTTGTGTTGTGTGTATAAACGACTTATGGCATACATGCGCACTAATACCACTCTATACTAGCCTCCTTATATAGACACCATAGCCTTATATAGACTAATATCTTTTGAGATTTTTCCCGGGGTAGCAGGTATCAAAGTGGCAAGGCCAATATCCGCTTTTAACGAGATTTAGTGAAAAATAAGAAGTAGGGAAGTAAAGATAAAAGATAATTTAACTCTAGAAAAAAGTTTTGTCATCACAGAAATATGTAAGTTTCCAACCTACGCAGAAGAGAGGCGGGCGCCTCGTATCTAGGGGATACAAAACTGTGATAAAAGAATTTGACTTTGGAAGGTTACCGACTATGCACATCTATTACAAATTCTCTCTTGAAATTAGAAATCAAGTGAGCTTGAGTTAAATTAAGGCACTGTGAGGGTCATGCAGTTGAATAGTTGAGTAGAGACAATTTGAAAAAAAAACAATCCCAACCGGTCATCGGCGCAGAAGAAAGTGTGAAAAAGTGACAGCCGACTGTGATGAAAAAAGGACTTGCTGCAAACTGCAGTGTCCAACTGAATCCTGATTATGATTATGCAAGAACCACGCGATTATTGCTTATTTATAATAATATCATGCAGATACTATAATTCTCAAGGGCCCTGTTATGGTATCTATTTATGTAGGGTAACATTTCCCTTTACGTAGGCGAGTAATAGGAAGGAATATTACACGAATATCAGTTGCTCATGGGACTGAAAGTGCAGTGATGGCAAATAATAAAAAATCTTCACATTTATTTATACATCAAAAGAATTATTTTATT